CACACGCAAAAATTTAGCTGTTGGCTAACATCAACTAAAAGCCGCCACACGGGTCAGCCCGCAATAAAGTGCAATGTGCGGGACTCACCATGGAGGTCCCGCCTTCTTGATCGCGAGAGCCTCCCAGCCAGGTAAGTTTAAGAGCAGTCGCTCCGCAGCACTATCGCTCAGCCGGCACCGTACGTGCCGCTGGTTGCATTTGAGCCTTAATTGCGGAGGAACACGCGCTCTCATCGCTGCCACAAAAATCTGAACACGATATGCATTCCATACCTGTCAAAACCCGAGCATCGAATTGTCGCTCGCCAACGCTCGCTCAAAGTCGCGCACTGTCGCCCTCCCATATTGCGAAATTTTGTTGTTTACGACTTTCTTACTTACTCTGACTCCTGCGACGAATTTCCCCATTTCTCCAATTTTTCTCAAATTTTCCCGTTTCAACCCAACTACTTAAGAAAAATCACAGAAGGGGACGGCGCGAAATTTAAAAAATATTTTTCAGCGAGAACCGAACCTCTCCTACGAAACACAATTACACAAAAAATTTTGGAACGCTTCACGAATTTGCGTGTCATCCTTGTGCAGGGGCCATGCTAATCTTCTCTGTATTGTTCCAATTTGGGGCACTGAGGTCTTCACGCTCTTAGATGAAACAGGAAAGGTAACAAAGGCAATTCATGCACCTCATCCCCTTTTTCCAATAGGTAGCTAGCTGTGTTGAGGTTAGCCGGATATGCCTCAGCGCGCTCACATTGGGTGTGGAAGATACTAAGGGTGCTGCAGTGTTCCAAATTTAAGAAAAAAATTTTTCCTCAGCACTTCAGCGTCTTTCTACTTCAAGACAAATATCGAACTGATGTTGACTGCAAATAATAAGAAATATTGCACGTGGTAAGCTTCTATCAAAAGTACTTTTAGAAGTGTTGAACAAGAAGGATGCATGGTTTTTCGTTAAGTGGCAAATCCGGAAAAAAGGGGCGTGTTGCACAGTACTGTATCCATGCTTATCCATGGTTAGTCACTTACCGCGTCGTTTCGCGCGAGCAGTATGCCTCATCATGTAAGATGATGCTTGTTTTAGGAGGCGCAGATAGGCAGACTGCCTGAGAATCGCTGCGACAGCGCTGAGGAAGTGTGGAAAAGGTAACTAGTTTTGCTAGCAATTTGCACATTAGAAGCGGAAGCTGTGGAATTCTTCTGTTGTACCTTAGTACTTGTACGTTGCAATGAACTGGTTGGTTAAAATAGTTCACTCTTTGGAAATAGAATTGAAGTTAGAGTGATTGTTAACATGCGGTTTTTGTGAAGAAGACGGGAATCATATCAGTCAATTTCAAATAATTTTCTCCAATGATATTAGGCGGGAAAGTGCCGTATTTTGAAGAAATCTTCAGAATTTCACAGCTATTTTCTCTCATTTCGTTAAATAAAGTCTATCACCTTCGAGCAAGTCAACTTTGTAGTCAGTGCGTATCGCTAAATGCAAGCACAGAACATACTCTATTATTCGTGAAAAAAACCCAGTGCAGATATAGAATTTAAGCTTTTCGGAGACCAGCTGCCGTCGTGCTTCTGAATTTTTCTGTAACTTTCTTCGCTTTTTCTCCACTTTTGAAACGGCAATATTCATAGCGAAGTGGGCTCACTTTCAAGTAATGTTGCTGAGTAATACAAATAAATCTAAGCTTTTCTGTCACGCTGAAGAGAATATGCACTGTGTGAAGAATTCAAGCTGTTGCAGGCTGCAGAACGTTACTGCAAGATCTCTTCAAAAAGTAGGCAGCTAAGGCGGATACTTGCCTTCAAATTTCGCAGACTAATCCACCGCCCACTATAAAGCAAGCTGTGTATTTACTGTATACTGATT